AAGCCAACAATGGGGTCAAACGCTTTTGGGTGCCAAAGGAAATTATTTCCAACATGAAGAGCACCAAGAAGGTTTGGATCCCAAAAGGGAGGTGAGAAGTCCGATGGACTTCGGGGAATTTGGAGACTTGGCAAAGTATATGTGCATTTCATGGGGTGCATCATGATGGATAAAGATATTGCCAAGTGGGTTAGTGAAAACCATGGACCCAAATTCCCCTTCCCATGTTAGGTAACTAGATGTAATTTCTTTCAATTGGTATTTCCTACAATTGGTATCAAGATTCAAATTCTTCTAATTAGCATCTAGTTACTTTTTATGCCTAGGTTTGTATTTCCATGCGTATATCTTTTGTCATGCATACACTAGGTATATCTTATGGTAGGCTTGCTCGATTTCACTCTTAACCCTTGGAGCAAACCTACATGGTTTAAATTGTTTAGGAGCACAACACATAGCTTGTTTTACAATTGTTCATCTAATATGTGCCAAAGTCCAAATTGTAGATAATTTCTCCCGAATATCACTTTCGAATGTGATGTCACCTTTCAATTGGTATCACAAGTGGTATTTTTGATTCTAAAATCAATGTACATGTCTCCTACAAGTATTCCATACTTGAGTGCACAAATTTAGGGGGAGGTTACTCTACAAGTTGGATGCTTTGAGACTAACACCTTTTCAAGCTTATCATGTGTGTAGTAGTCTCATTGCAAGGAAAATGGAGTCCCCGGAGTTAAGCATCATAATTCAAATATCCACCACCTATTGCAAGTGGTATAAATCAAATTAGTTTCCACTTGTGGTATTTCTAAACCGATATCATCATGTTGATTTTACTTTGGTATATATATGCTTACTCCATGCATTATATAGATTAACTCTCTTGAGCATTAATTTGCCAATTATGCATAAATTGCATTCTCCATCACATGTATGCATATATTTAGGGGGAGCTTAGTCTATGTAATGTGAGAGTCAAATTTTGTGACATATTCCACTCCACATACAAAGGATCACAAAGTTTGACCCTCCCTTGTGCTACTAATGTCTTTCTTTTTGGTGTTTGATTCCAAAGGGGGACAATTTAGAGGACCAAAAGCAAGCATTAATTTGTAGGACCAAAAGCAATATCATAATAATTTACAAGTGGTAATGGTCCAAGAGATGGAGGATAGTGGATTATGGATTAGTCTATGTAATGGGGAGAATTTGTAGGACCAAAATGCAAGGCTTAAATCCATAATGCCGCATGGGGTAACTTTCCAAAGATGTTTACATGTGGTACCTTTTAGCTTTACAATTGGTATCTTTTAACATCATATAACCTTGCCGTTTGCATTGCATCCTAACAAGTAAATAGTTTTTAAATTCTAAAAAAATTATTATTTGCTTGTTTTGGTCGTGTTGTCATCAATCACCAAAAAGGGAAAGATTGTAAGGAAAATGGACCCTAGGCCCATTTACTTTGAATTTTGGTGTTTGATGACCAACACAACCAAATTGGACTAATGAACTTGCAAGTGATTGTTTTGTAGTCCAATAGGGTGCAAGACGTGACTTGGATGAAGGCGACGTGACGATCCGATGATCAACACCATAAGCAAGACCTTAAAAGCACAAGAGAAGACCCAAGATATCAAGCAAAGTCCAAGCATGAAGATAGGAACCAAGCCGGGCGCAAGATCGTGAAGAAACGAGCTCACAGAGGTGACCGGACGCAGCACCGGACACTATCGGCATAGCGACCGAACGCTTCGATCAAGAGGCTCGGCATCAGCAGCAGCAATTGGACACTGAGTACTGAAAGTAACTGGACGCACCGATGACACTGTTTATCATCCCGGCAACACACTCAGTACTGATCGGACGCTGGCGGCAAATCGACCGGACGCAGGAACTGCAGCGTCCGATCGACTCTAGAGAGGTTCTAGAGCGGTGAAGTTACGACCGGATGCGTCTGGTGGCATGTGACCGGACGCCATCAACGTCTGATCAGTTGATCGCGTGCCTAACGGTCGGGACGACTGGACGCGTCCGGTCAGGACGACAGCAGTGTCCGGTCAGTAGCAGAAAAGTGGGATTTCGTCCCCAATGGCTACTTTCTCAGTGGGGCTTATAAATAGACCCCCAACCGGCCATTTGAGTAGTGTGGAGCTGAGAAAATATATCAAGGGTGTTCCTACACCACTTTAGTGATCTCCACTTGCATAGTGCTTAGTGTTTCATTAGGTGATTAGCATAGGTGCTTTGCGAAGTGCTTAGGTTGATTAGACCACCGCTTATGCGCTTGCTCTAGGTTTAGGCCTAATGTTTAGTGAGGTTTGCATACCTCTTACCACTCGGTGCTTGCGCACACTATTGTTGTACATCGTAGGGGCTTGTAGTCTTGCAAGATCACACCAACCGCGTCTGTGGTGTGGCCGCCACCGTGTACCGAAGGGAACAAGGCCCACGGCGGTTTGACCAGAAGCTTGATAGTGAAGACGACGGGGAGCGGTCCGGGAGAGGCTTACCGGAAGGCACACCGGAGACCCACTTGCGCATGGAGAAGGCCCGAGGCTATCCATGGAGTTACCCAACTGGGAGCTTGGCCCTTGCGAGGGGCTCCAACGAGGACTAGGGGGAAGCTTGCGTACTTCTCTATACCTCAGTAAAAATACTGGAGTCGTCGACGGGAGTTTGCATATCTCTACCTTGCTCTTTAGCTTCCGCATTTACATTCTTTGTATTACTCCTTTTTGCGGTAGAGATAGCAACACACTAGCAAAACTGTAGTTGCACATTTAGATAGTTTATCTTTTGCATAGGTTTTGCTAAGGTTAGAAAAAGAGGCCATAGTTTAAGAGTTAGAATCGGAATTTTAAGTTGCCTAATTCACCCCTCCTCTTAGACGTCATGGTCCCCTACAGGCTTCATGAAGAAGATGTCTGCGGAGCTACCGGTGTCTATTAAAATGTTATGCAGTGTACCTATTACATTTGCCGCTGCAACGAATGCATCGGTGTGAGGATAATCGTGAACTTGGAAATCATATTCATCAAATGTGACTAGGACTTGGTACCAGCTGGCCTATTCATTGGCAGCCTTGGCAAAATGGTATGGACTCTTCTCTCGTAATCTCATCTTGCACGCTTGCTCTCGTGCTCTTATTTTTATCCGCCTGTGATGGCGAATATTTGGCCATGCGAAGGAAGGATGTTATTCATTGTTTGTTGCTCTTGTGCATTTTCTTGCTTGGCAGGCTATGATTGGCTTGATTGCTATTGCTCTGGCTGAAGTGGCAAAGATACTGCTATGAATGACTTGGATAATGACCGTATTGCTGGTAAGCTGAGTATATGCGGGGTGCTGCCAGACGTATGATGGTTGGGCGAAACCTTGTACGAGGTTGGCTTGATGGATTGGATTGTTGTTTGGGGGGTAATATTGTTGGTTGTAGGACCGTGTGTGCATGCTTTCACAAAGAGCATTGTGGTATACATGCTTTGGGGTTTAGCTAGTCCTTGAGGCATCATCTTTCTCTTTGAGTTCTCATGCCATTTTGTTATATTTGCATTCTCTTGTGACATGTCTGGCATTTTTGCCGCACACAAAATAGTAAGGCACTCTCTGACCTCTACCTCTTACGCGCCCTTCATGGCCACCATGAAAGCATCAGCCTCCTCTACCGCCACGCTGAGTCTGGTCAAAGTTGTGATGTTGGTGGAAATGCGAGTTGCCAGGCTACGTTTGTTCTGAGGCCCACTGACCCGCTTCTTCTTGTTGATTGTTTATTGAGCGAAAAGGTCTCACATTTCGTTGGGGCTGTGGTTGGGGTGGTCTTGGCATTTTAGTTGCTTGCCTTGTTGAACTATGCGTGCCTTTTTGTCTTTTGTAATCTACGTCTAATCTGGCGTATTGGTTCATGATTCGAAACAATTCGCTCACAGTATCTGGCAGCGACCTGGCGAGGAATAATGCACACTGACCGATGGCAAGGCTTTCAATGGCCACTACTAAGACAACTGCTTCTAGAACATTGGGAACCTGCTCCTTGAGCTGGATGAACTTTTTTTAATAGTCGGATAGAGACTCATCATCTCACTGCACACAAGTCATGGGCGATGCCTTCGACCGCCATGATGAATGATTTCGCCAAGGCCTAGTTGTCTCCCCCGGCGGAGATGACTAATTTTCTAGGATTGGACTGTCCGTCGAAAGGGGGAATGAGAGGCTTATAATTCTGTGGCCAAGGGTGTTGCTATTACTCTCTAGATAATGGTGGGGTTTGATCGTATATTGCTAAGTTTTCGCCTTGATTTTTGAGCTGTGGTTGAATGACATCAATGCTAACATGCCTGGCATTTTTGCCATTTGCCCTCTGTATGTAGCTGCTCAAAGTCTCTGTTGAGATTAATTTGCTGCTGTTCGGCTTCTCTTATGGAGTTTTCACCTGCTCAACCCTGTTTCTCGCCACAACTTGCTGCAACTGCTCTTTTTGTCGCTCTAATCTTTGGATTTCCTGTCCTAGATTTTGTCGTCTTCATTTTCATTCTCCTCGACTCCTAGATCTTGTACGAATCCTTCTAGGGTGTCTTCTCGCCCCACTGGCGGCACTGCTTCATCATGTGGGATCTGTAGCGCTGCCAATTCGGGTAACTAGGGGATGGGGGGTATTCACCCTAGGGAGGATGGTTGAGTTCGCGGCTAATGTGGCCACTGCTTTTGCTGGGGCCGCTTCTTCTGTCGCTTTTGAAGTCTCGGTTACGTCACTTCCTCCTTTCGCTCCTTTTCTTGGGGCCATGACAAGTTCGGGCAACAACCATGGTGGAGTATTAAACGAAAACGAATGACATGATAGCTTGCTGCAATAGCAATCTTCTTATTCATCATCCTCTACATCAACCCTTTGGGCCATGTTTATACATGCCCGTAGACTTTCCAAAGACTAAACTACCCCTTCAACCGCCCTAGATTCGTAGCATATCCTGCCCGATCCAATACAGCTTGGTCCTAACTCAAATTGCCTCCCCCGGGAACAGTCGTCCCCGGTCCACGCCTGCCCTCGTTCGTTGGCCCCGCGCGGAAGTGGGGGAGGGACCAGCGGAGGCAGGCTTCTCTGACGGGTGCCTAAGCCTCCAGCCTGCCAGCTGCCATTCTGCCTCCTCCTTGCTTGTTCTCCTTTCGCCATCCCAGAAAACTGCCTGCAATTCTGTAGCGTGCACAGCTGGCAGAATGGGAACACTGCTTTCGAAATGCAATCCGTCAGGAGGGTCTGAAGAGGTCTTCGTCACCTTTCGCATGCTGGGTTGAAAAGGTCAGGGAGGCAGAAAGGGTGAAAAGAAGGGGTGCCTAGAAGGCGCACCTTCCCCCAACAGATGGGAACTCATGTTGTCATCAGATAAGTTATAAGATTTGATTACAAATGATCACAATATACCATATCTAGAGATATCCTAATATATTATAACACATGGATGAATCTAATCGAGTCAACCAATGTTTTGGTACATGTGATGGGAATATAACTTGGCGTAACCTTCTTGAGATGGAATATAATGTGTCTGCTTCCTCATAGACATCTAATGCAAATCATTGTTGGTTGTTGCCCAGCAATTAATGAAAACAATTACTTAAAATTGCTCCCCCATATAATTAGGCCAATCTCAATTGGGTTTTCACGGGTGTTTCATGAGCAATAAATGAACTGATGTAGCATAGTATTGATGAATAGAGAGATGGAAAAAGTTTCATGGGATGAACTGAGTTTCATAGGGATGAAACTTGTCTACACCGTTTCCAACACATGAGTCTTGAATAATAGTGACATGAAACCCCCACCTGGACTGGTCTTAAGGTGTTCGTGGTTAACAAATATAAGTATGCCAAATAGATATGAAACATGAAACATTATTTCAACCATGTCATCTTGAAAAGGACAGGATGACAAACTCACCTTAGGGGCAGGATCCTTTGGTGGGCAGATGACAGCCTTCAACACGGCAGCATGTACCTCACCATCGAACTCTTCCACTCGCTTCAATAAATCATCATCATTTTTTTGGGAATCATTGTCAATGGATGACTCCAGATTTTGAAGGTCCTTGTTGCTCTCCATGGAGATCATCAGTATCTCAAACATGCCCGCATCTAATGGCGGTGTCTCTTGCCTTACCATCTTTACAGTTAAAACAACAGTGGACATTGGGCTCAAATCGTAGATGCGCTGGTCGATAGCATACATATCTTGGAACTGCTGTCTGATAAAACAGGCAAAATATTGATGTGTCCTGTTAACTAAGTTTAGTGAGCACTGTGTAACCTTTTTGGCCTCGAAGGGAAAGCAGAGCTCGAGAGGGTGGACATCCAGCAGCGCACTCTCGCTTGACCAACAAGGACGTAGCTACAATAGCAGAATATGTGCACGGACTGGTGAGAGTTCAGAGTGGCATTATATGCAACACACACACACAAATCATATCAAGATAAAAAGGTGGAAAGAAATGAAAAAAATTGCTTTCGGTAAGAACAGACATTGTATTGTATGACTGTTTACATGCAAAAAGAAAAGGGAAACACTGCCAAGTATGAATAAAACGGATCTGGCTAACTGTCGATTTTCAAAACAAAAGGAAAGAGATTGGCTATTACGAAGTGGAATTACCATGAATTCTCTGTATACATGCATGGACAAAATTAAAATGCCAAATCAACATTAAATGATGAGCAGATTGAAAAAACCTGAATCATATATAACGTGGGAAGACTTGTATGCATGGTGATACTATGGTTTATATATATTACACATGCACGTTTTGCTCCCCTGTACGGTTGGCTGTAGAAATGTAAACTCACCTCTGGCGCCATGGATGCAATAATTCGCATTGGCTTGCATGCTTGTTTGGCCTGTCGATAGTACTGGTAGAACCTACCCAGCTAAAAATGAAGACACAATAAATCAATTATAGGAAGTTTGTGGGAGCAGGCATGTATATTTAATGTAACTGAAAGCTGATGATACTACCTGCTGCACTGAAATATCTGTTTCATTAAGCCTACGGATAATATCTTGTATATGAGGCCTTTTGCTTGGGTCATCATGCATGCAATCTATCCCTATCTCAACACATAGTTTTACTTCTTCTAGTGGTGGATTGCTCTTTGATGTCCCAAATGTGTTCGTCCAACTTTCAAGCACCTACCAATGTTACAATAAAAGAGCACTTATATATATATATATATATATATATATATATATATATATATATATATATATATATATATATATATATATATATATATATATGGAGAGCCTTTAATTTTAAGATAGGGAACACAAACATGTAGCTATATAGAACACGTATATGTTGATGCAGATTTCGAACCCGCAAGTAGTGTGATGAATAGCACCAAGCAAAAAAAATGTAGCCATTATCTTGAAACAGGAATGTAAATTATTACTACCATATTAACATTGGGGCATTCCTTACTCCCCGTTAGAATCTGTATGATTATAACACCAAGACTATATATATCTGTCCCAAATGAGATTGTTCCGCTTCTTAAAAATTCTGGTGCCATATATCCCCTGCATGAAAAATTAATGCAGTGAGAATAAACAGCCAAACGGGACAGCAGTATGCACCAGAGAGTTAGTTGGTGCCTGACAATACAAATGGATGTCTCTGTGTGTGTGTGTGTGTGTGTGTGTGAGAGAGAGAGAGAGAGAGAGATTTAGATAGCATACAGTGATCCAACTATATTTTCAGTAATAATCTTGCTTTGGTTTTCTCTAAAGCGTCTCGATATACCAAAATCTGTAATCTTAGGCGCCATGATGTCGTCTAGCAGTATATTTTCAGGTTTGAGATCCATGTGAATAATACGCCGCTTGTGAAGATGAGCCACGCCCTTACAAATCCCCTTAATTATTTGATAGCGAACCCTCCACTCAAGTCCAGAAGATGCATCTGTGAAGAATATATACACACACAACACAACACAAAAGGTAACTATGATTAGTTCTGATTTATGTCATGAGACGAGCTGTTTCTTCTTTACTTATCAGAAATGCTCTTACTTATAGCTCATCTTACCAGTAACATAGTTGGCAAGACTCCCTTTACTTAGGAATTCAAAGCAAAACAACATGTTCCGCTTGTCTACCAAGACATTTCTTCCTTCATGCAGATACAACATATGCTGCGTTTCGTAACTGTAGCCTAGAAACCGTACTATGTTTCTGTGCTTCACCTCTATGAGACAATCAACCTCATGCAGGAAATCCTTCTCTTGAACCTCAATAAGCTTGTTATCATGAAGCTTCTTCACAGCGACAATAATCCCATTTGGAAGCACTCCCTACAGTTCACAACATTATTGTTAAGTTTAATTTGTGTCCATGAGCTAGGGCCAAGTTGCCCGCATGGTACGTATATATACTTACCTTATAAACAGATCCAAAGCCACCGACGTCGATAAGTTGATCAGCAGAGAAATCTTGTGTGATGGCCTTGAGGAACCAGAAACGTAGGTCTATTGGAGCCACACTTTCATCAGCTAACGCCTTCTCTAAGTCAAGAGAGATGCTGTTTTGGTAATTATTGTCCATCGTCGGACACGATGAATCAGACTTGGAGGCAGATGCTCACTCTTCCAACTTCACTGTATCTAGAAAAAAACAATTGATGGACCGTGTTACTGTGGCTATGAAAAAATGTGTAGGAGAGGGGAATGAAAATAGGATCACCAGACATGCATGGGAGGGGAGAAACACCGTATTGCTAACAAGTAACAACTAACAGATCTCTGAAAGAGATGATTTCTTCATTGGCAAGGGAAATAAATAAAAAAAAAGGCAAGCCAACAACCCAATATATAATCAAACACTCGATCTCCAGCCACAGTAAATAAACAAAAGGCAAGCTGAGGACGGGACCCACCACCGTGGCCACCACCGGCGCCATGGCCTCCCCCGCGAGATCCGGCGCTGATGCGCCTCCGGGGAGCTCCCCGTCCCCGCCTCTGGCGACGCCGGGCCCCAACGCCGCGGCCTCCTTCTCCAGCAGCGGCGGCATCGAGCCCGCCCCTGGATCCGGCGACATCCGGCGTGGTCAAAACAATGAAGAAGAAAATGCCGCGAACCAAGAAGCCAAGCGCGCGGAATTCCATCATGTCCCCAGACGAACCCCCAAACATCTATCGACACCAACACCAATCGCGGAGCTCACACACCGCGGCTGATTTCAGCGGAACCCAGACAAGCCCAGAACGCAAAAGGGGGAGCAACGCAAGCGGAGAGGCAGGCCAAAGCCACGAGCACCCACAGCAAGCACTGCTCAAGCGAGCTCGCTTGGTGCCTGAGCACTTAGCGCTGGTAGTGCTGCCGCTGGGCTGCTGGACAGCTGCTCCTGCTCGATACAGTCACGAACACACTAACAGAGAAGAAGCAAGAACGGACAGAAGAAAAAGGAGCGACCAAAAATCTAACGAAAACCAAACTAAAACTCCATGAAACGCTCCCAAATTTTGCACAGATGCAATTCAACCTAGCACGAACCTATTTCCCAAAAATCATTGCGGCAGATACATAGCCTTCCACTTCGCCAGATCTAACAATAGCAATTGATAAATCATCATGTTAGTTGCCTTATTAATTATATATTTGCGCTACTTTGAAATTATATTTGAATTTGGGAAGAGATGAAAATAAGTTCAACAGAGCTAGTTAATGAATGTGCGTAAGAGACTGAAAATTTCTTCATTGGCAAAGGAAAAAGGTAACAAAAAATGAAGCACTCCGATCCCCAGACCAAATTAATTAGCAAATGGAGCAAATCTTAGCTTGACTTACAATAGGATTGATGAACGCTAACAGAACAGGGGAGGCGCAAGGTATCCTGAGACTGTTAGCCCACAAATAAAGCTTTGAAAGATATCACCACGAGGCAAAGAGCTATTACTCCTACTATTTAAGTTGGCGCGTACAAAAGAAGAAAAAAAATGGCACCTGTACAAATTTGTATTCTATCGACTCGATCGGAGTACAAAGGAAGCATCGATAAAGCCGAGCATTTGGCCCCGACGGAACTAACAAAGGCTATTTGGAACTTTTGTAAATGCCACCGAAAAACAAATCAACTCATCAATACGCACAAGGGCTGACGGAAGAATCGGAGATAACACGGTAAGGCCTTGTCTAGATTGCAAATTTTTGCAATCTAGATATTGTAGCATGTTTCATTTGTATTTGACAAACTTTGTCCGATCATGGACTAACTAGGCTCAAAAAATTCGTCTCGTGATTTACAACCAAACTATGTAATTAGTTATTTTTTTTACCTATATTTAATGCTCCATGCATGCGTCCAAAAATTGATGTGATAAAAATAGAGTGAAAAAACTTGGAATTTTGAGGCAATCTGAACGAGGGCTAAGTCACGCAGCAAGGACAAAGGGCACGCATAGTATTCTAGTTATCTTCAAAGAAACACTAGTGACGTTGAAAATTGTCCTCGCATCCAGCCTTGGAGTTGCAGTTGATCAGAACGAAGAAAAAGTACTATAGATCACGATAAAAGAAATAGTATACAACCTACTGACTCCGACTCGCCACACGTCAGTATGTATGGTGCTGTCTGCCTGTCTTATTGCGGCAAGAACGATGCACACAATTTATTCGTGTCATGGGACACCAATAAATCCAATGTTTTTTGTTTGGTCGTACAAGGAATTTATTACTAGGGATCAGATTCAAAAGGCTGTTTAGCACATTTATTTTTAAGAAGACAGTGCAACAGCCTTCGTTAGAAGCTCATATTTCGCATTGCTCCCTTTGACAATGGTACATAACTCTATTTAATTATTAGTGTTACAGCTAGTGCAAAGCAAAACTGTTGATGGTAAATCCACACTAAAAACTAGGCAAATCATACATAAATGGCAATGCTACATAACTCTGTTTAGTTTTGGGGGTTAACGCTACAAAGTAAAACCGCTCACTTCCCGTAGAGAGGAAGCCCCTCTATCTTGAGCGTACTAGCTGCTCCATGGATCTTGGTCATGTTTGCAACTCCATTCTGGAATGGTGGAAAGTTTGGAGAGAGCAGTGGACAGGGCACTATCGCAGCGGAGCTGACTCCATCTTCCCGCTTTGGTTGCTTGGGAGCTTTGGAAAGAAAGGAATGCAAGTTGCTTCCGCGGAGCAAGCACTCAGGTGCCCGACCTGCTCAAGCTCATCAAGCACGAGGCTGACTTGTGGGTGCAAGCCGGCGCGAAGAGCCTAGGTTGTCTTCTTCAACGAGTAATAGGGTAGTCGAGTGTAACTTTGGGGAGGGCATTTGCTTAATGAAAATTTCTAAAGCCCCTCACCCCTGTAATCAAATTCTCCCCACTTAATATAAAAACGCACAAATCTTTTGCGTGATCGAGAAAAATGGTTCTTGGTCATGTCAGTTTCATCAACCCATGGTTTCGAGCAGTCAACGCAACAACAGAGTTAGCAACAGGGTTGCTTTGTGAGGAAAAAATGTACAAATGTTTGATGTTTCCCAAAGGAAAGTGTTAATGCAAAGAGATATAGATGAGAGAGTATAAAATACAACAAACTATACACACTGACATATAAGCTGCTCCATGCCTCCATAGTCTCTTATATAATCAAATGGCACAGCTAGACAAATGGGACCTACTGACCCTATTCCTGTATATCTTTCTTATACTCTATCTCACAACAATATTCCAAAATACGGTTTTCATCTTAATCTCTACACCTAAAAAAACTCTAAAGTAATCATCTACCTGGTAATACAAAAAACGTATACTATCCGGTTACAAAGACTAAAGAAAAACTTGTACCAAATACGTATACTATGCGACCAAATACGTACACTATCTGGCCACCCTCTGCGTTATGAAAGAGAATCGTCAGATACAGAGTCCGCTGCAGAGTCCGCAGAGATTGCGTCGCTGAGACCGAACCGAGGCCGTGTCCAGGCTTACGTCGCATGCACACATGCAAATATGCGCGAGGCGGCACGGATTATTTGCCTTCCCGTGTTTCCTGTTTGATTGATCTCGGCCCGATAGGAAGCCAGCGCGGGCAGCGGCAATATCGTCGTCGATGGCTCTGGTCGCCGACGTGCCGTGTGGAGATCCTCCTGCGCTTGCCGCCCCCGCCCGAGTGCGTCATCCGCTTCCGCGCCGTAAGCAAGCACCGGCGACGCATCAACACCTGCCCCACACTTTCCTCGCCGCCTACTTTCGCCGGCGGCCGCGGGAGCTCCTCGGCTATCCGGATGGCTGCAGGATGGGAATATTCTCCGAGAACCTACTCGCAGGCATGGAGCCATGGACCCTCTCAATGGTCGCGACACGGGCTGCCGTGCATCATGCGCTTCGATGGGATATTGCATCCCGTGACGGTCTCCTCCTGCTGTTCCGGCTAAGATAGAAGTGATTTTTGATCTGCAACCCGGCAACGCGGCAGTGAGCTAGCCTGCCGTCGCTGATGCCAGGGCCGCGCACTTTCGTCGTGGCGTCCGGGTTTTACTTCCACCGGTCGTCCGGCGAGCACCCGTCGCCTGGTTTCAAGCATGACCCAGCGTGCGGCGTCGTTTGCGCACCCCGACTCCGCTCGATGGAGTCGCCCCGTCCTTCGGTACAGCGGTGTCGACAGGTGGGGCCGATCCACATGTCTTCCTCTGCACGTGCAAAACGAGGCCTCCAGAAACATGAGACCAGCAGCAATAAGATCGGCAATTACCAGACGCCGATGACTTGATGCGTGGTGACCGACGTCCATGCATGGCCATGTGAAAGTGAGGACATGTGATGTCACAATGACTAATATTGACTTACAAAATAATTAAAGCAATATGCTCGTATATGTACAAGTATGCGGATCTATAAAAAAAACATCAACTGATTCTGACATTCAATTGATTAGCCCCGTGCTTTTGCACGGGCATATATATAGTTACATTAAAAGCAATCAATTGTGGAAATCTCTTGGTAGTAATACAGATACTGCCCATGCAGTAGGCTTTGGCTAATTTTTCGATATAAGAACTGAAACACGATGTCAAGGCTTTTCTCCTGCCCGTAGAAACCCCTGCAAGCTTCCAGATTGTGTGCTTACCTGTGGGTAGGCCTGGCTGCTGTCGAAATCAACCCCCAACATGGGTTCAGTGAGTGGGAATCCGATTTCTCCCCCTCAGTATTCCGATCCATCCGCAGGGGTGTAGGTTCAGTACAGCCAAGCACCGGTGGCCTCCGAGCGGCGGAGGCGATGCAGCCTGTAAGCTCTCAGGGATGGGATCGCCGGCGGGGTTTCTCGTGAAGGTGGGAGCGCTCCGGGATGCGGATCGCCGGCGGGGTTTCTCATTATTCATGAAGGTGGGAGTGGGAGCGCTCAGGGATGCGGATCGCCGGCGGGGTCGCGATTGTTCGGCGGCCATCTGGGAGCATGGAGGCCGGGTTGGCGGGTTGCAGTTGCAGGGGTGGGGAACAGAGCTGGCTTGCACCTAGCCCAACGGAGACTTGAACAAAACGGCCCGGTCCGTATTGACGTGAGGCACTAGACATTGGCCCAGAAGACCACAGATATCGGGC